CCACAGTAAGAGGTTAGAGGAAATAAAAATTTTAAACATGAATTTTCTTGTATTTTTAAAATTCATTTTATTGGGAGCTTTTACAGCTCTTTTAACATTCTATACATCAATTGTTTCAAGTATATTTGTACATATGTTGCCATTATCATTTTCTAAACATTTACTTTCTACTTTAGCCTTTGGTATGGGCTCCTCTTTTTCCCCTCCTGCCCCCCGTCCCACCCTTGTAACCCTTTGATAACTTATAAATTATTATTGTTTTCATGTCTTACACCAAACGCTGTCTCCCTTCACCCACCTTTCTGTTGTTCATACCGCTGGGGAGAGGATTATGTGTTCATCATTGCAATCGGTTCCCCCTTCCTTCCCTGCCCCCCCCCACGTTCTCCCTACCCTATGAATTTTGCTTTCAATAAAAATATTCTAATGGTTGAAAACCATTGCAAAGGTACAAGAGGATAGAATTGAAAAGCAAGCCTCCCCTCCCGCTATGATGGAGGGGCAGTGAAAGAGAGAAGATCCTCCACATGATGGACTCACCCAGTGCTGCAGCAATGGGCTCAGGCACAGGACCCCTGTGAGGATGGTGCAGGGCCGTGCAGCTTCAGTTCTGTTATGAGTAGGGTCGGTACGAGGTGGCCGGACTCAATGGCACCTGACAACTACGATTCTTCAGTCCCGTCCCACAGAGCCCCAGACATAACTCCGAGTAAAAGCTTGGCTTGCTTTCTAGACATGGTGTGGGTTTTTTTTAACTGATTACATGACACCCGTCAAGAAGTTAAAATGGGGTGCTAGTCAGCACTCTATACTTCTCTGAGCGCCCCCTGGGTTTGCTCACCCCTGAAATAAAAGGATTGACTGTACCACTGCCTTACACGCTATTCCTCACAATTTTGTCGAGCTAGGTTTCTTTGGTTTCTATCTAGCAAATCTTCTGCCAGTGGCTTGCCTGTCCTATTGTTTTGGAGCCCAAGGAGCTGAGAGCGAAGTGGGAGGCTGGTCACACAGCTGATCCCTTTTGCTGGGGAATCTCCCTCACTTAGTTGTCCACCTCCAGGCCACTAGGGAGGCTAACGGCCCTTGGGAGTTCAGGTTCAGCTTCTGACTCTGAATACTATTTTCTATTAATACAGGAGCGTGGTATTTCTGGAGTATATATTTCACCAGGAGGAAGACATTTTCTTTTCTATCCATTCACTTTTGTAACGGGTCACTGTGGGTTGCTTCGCAAGGCAGTAATGTGAACAGGTCTCTGTTGTACCTTTTGGTCCATCTTATATTTTTTAAATAAAGCATTGCTTTCAAAAGAGACGCTGTCTTGAGCGTTTCTGTCATCAAGAATGTTGAAAGTGGGTAAAAAGAAAGATGGGAGTGTACTAGCCATTGTATTATTACAGATAGCACAATGTTACTGTTACATTATTATTGCTTTTCAGATTCTCAGAACTTCTGAGAGCTTTCTGTTCACTAGCTTATGAGAAAAAATGGAGAAGTTTATGAATTCTCATTTTCTACCTGGAGTAAAAGAGCACCAAGAATCACAGAAATTAAGATGTAATTGGAATTGTCTCACAAATGAACTGAATGTTATATAAGTTATCATCAATTACTGCCTACTCATGCCAACCTCCTGTATGTTAGAGTAGAACGGTGCTGCACAGAGATTTAAATGACTGATCTTCCTCCCAGAAACAGGTTACCCTGTCTTTGTTCCAAAGTGCCTGTAGGTGGATTCAAACCCGTCTTAAGTCTATTAATCATTTGTACCACCTAGGGGCTCTGATAAGCTGTTTAGCTAACATTCATAATGTGGCAAATCTCAATCAATATAGTTGATAATAGAATGTTGGGTCACATTGTTCTAAATATACAATTAATGCCTAGTTGCTTTGTTTACGGAGTAATGTTAATGTTTTTCAAACCGTCAATCAAACTATATACATGTAATGCAAAGAGATTGATATATAATATTTATAATTAAATAAGTCTTATTACAGAGACAGTTCATTTCAATAAGACAATCCGAGGTTGATGCTCTATTTTTATAACTGCTGAATCTTATCTAGATTATTATCTATATTATCTATGTGTATGTATACAATGCAAATTCTGTTATTTTGGGAGGTTGGAGTGGAGAGGAAGGCCCTAAAGGGGCGGGGGGACCTAAGATCCTGTAAATTAATACTGAGTCTAAATACTGGACTTTTTTTTTTAATCCAGTGGTTCTTTTTAGTTTAAACTATAAAATGTCTTGAAAGGACTGCTCTGGCCTAATTCTTTAAAGATTAACTTCTTTTAGCCTTAGAGCCTACTCTTTGATCCCGTGTATCTGCTAGCCCCTATTTTCAAGGCTTTTAAGAGCAATAATAGGTAATTGTCATACAATACGATCGACTTTATCAGGGCTTCGGGGGAGGCGTGGTGTGTGTGTGGGGAAAAGTTTATTATGATGACATCTGAATGTTGTTTTCTGAAGAGCTGCCTGCCCCTCCCTTGTGTTCCATCAGCCTCTCAGTGTAGGTTTCAGGTGACTCCTTAGCATCTCCCCGCAGGCACTGTGGGCAGATGGGTCAGGGTCAAGTTCCAGTGGCCTGTGTAATGGTCAGTGTTTGGGAGGTGCCGGGATTTGGGATTCCCGCTGATTTTGCCCCGCTCCCGCTTAGGTCGCTGGAGGGGAGCCCGTCCCTGCGGCGCCTGACGGTGATGCGGGAGAAGGGCCGGCGCCAGGCCGTCCGGGGCCCGGCGTTCATGTTCAACGACCGGGGCACCAGCCTCACGGCGGAGGAAGAGCGCTTCCTCGACGCCGCCGAGTACGGCAACATCCCCGTGGTGCGCAAGATGCTGGAGGAGTCCCGGACGCTGAACGTCAACTGCGTGGACTACATGGGCCAGAACGCGCTGCAGCTGGCCGTGGGCAACGAGCACCTGGAGGTCACCGAGCTGCTGCTCAAGAAGGAGAACCTGGCGCGCATCGGCGACGCGCTGCTGCTGGCCATCAGCAAGGGCTACGTGCGCATCGTGGAGGCCATCCTCAACCACCCGGGCTTCGCGGCCAGCAAGCGCCTGACGCTGAGCCCGTGTGAGCAGGAGCTGCAGGACGACGACTTCTACGCCTACGACGAGGACGGCACGCGCTTCTCGCCCGACATCACCCCCATCATCCTGGCGGCGCACTGCCAGAAGTACGAGGTGGTGCACATGCTGCTGCTGAAGGGCGCCCGCATCGAGCGGCCGCACGACTACTTCTGCAAGTGCGGCGAGTGCACCGAGAAGCAGCGGCACGACTCCTTCAGCCACTCCCGCTCCAGGATCAACGCCTACAAGGGGCTGGCCAGCCCGGCGTACCTGTCCTTGTCCAGCGAGGACCCTGTGCTCACGGCCCTGGAGCTCAGCAATGAGCTGGCCAAGCTGGCCAACATCGAGAAGGAGTTCAAGGTAAGCAAGCTCTGCTCCCTGTCCCAGCTCTTTACTCGCAGGTGGGTGGCTGCTGGAAGCCTGGGTTCTTCTTGGAATTCTTTTTGTTTGTTTTCCTGGTGGGTTTAGACGCCTAAGCGATTGGGGAGTATCTTTCAGAGTTGATCTGAGCACCACCCCCACCGCCACCCCCGCCCCTCTCGACCAGGGTGCTGTGGGACACTGGCTTTGGGACTGTTTACATTCTGGATCCTGGCTAGACGAATAATGCTGCTGCTCTGTGTTCTGGGCCAGTGCTAACTAAAACCCAGGCTTCCCTTCCTTTTGTGAAAAGGAGGAGTTCGTTGAGTGTAATATTCTCCCTTTCAATTCTCTCCCTCCTTTGTTTCCACTTGGCTGTACCATGGTACCCAGCTGGAAGTAGTGCTGCATTTTGCGTGGACGACTTTTGTATATCCCTTTACCATCGAAGATCAAGAAATCTGTTTGTCTCTAAAAGACTATCAAAGTCATTCCATTAATACGAAAAGGCTGTCCCCGAACATCCACAAATGTATGCTCAGCGTGTCCTGTCGTGGATGTCAGAGCAACCCAGATATGCAGAGGTAGTTTAAATCCGTTAAAGGCGTGTGCTTTAAGATACTGGGATTTTAGAGAATGTGCTTTTTTCCCTAGACATCGTCTCCAGTCAAAGCAACCATGTTTTTATGAAACCACAAAAGTTTTAAAATACGTTACTGGTCAAGCATTTTCCTTTTAAATTTTTTCATTCAATTGCTACATCGCCGATGTGTCTTGGAATGGTTCCATCTATGAAAACTGTGAAATCTGAATATTAATCAGAAGATGATTGCAGACACCCAGTCCTTTAATTATTTTCTGCATGCTGAGTTAATCTTCTTTGTAGTTTAAGTGTTGTGGTGACAGAAAACCAGAAAGGTGATTACTCTGTCTTCCATGTCTTAATATGGTTTTTCATGCTTAGGTGAGATTTACACAAATGCAGCTGGCAGTATAATTCAAGTTAAGGAAAATCGACTTTGCTCCCTGAGGTTGCCTGAAAATGGTTGGCTCTTATTTTGCTATTTGTTTTGTTTTACTTCCACATGTCTCAAACTCCCTAAGTAGTTTCCTAGTTCTCATCTTGTCCAGGTGGAAACCAGGTCTAAGGATAATTTTGTTACTCACTTTTTAAAATAATGTCTTTCCAATAGAAAGGAACACATTTACTATAGAAACTTTGGAAAAAAATATGAAAAGAAAAAGAGATAATCACCTTATTTCTCCCCCCCTTTGAAAAGGTTCATGAGGTGATATTTCAGAAGATTTATTTCCTTGGACTCTAAATTTTGGAGTATGGGGGAGGAATGAAATTCCAGTAAAGCACATCGAAAATATAACAATTCTCTTTAGAGAGCATAGAAAAATGTTCAGATGAAAAAAGTTCTAAATAGTAACTTTTTCATTTATTTTTAAATATTCAGACAGTAATACAAATCACACTCTAATTTTATTTATTTGCTCTATTTCAAACCTTGTTTTATGCATTTTGCTTGATACATATTAAAAGCCTGCAAAAGAGGTTCTGTAAAAGGGAGTGTTTTCTAAAATTATGTTTTAATAACTTACTGAAAATGATGTTTGCAATTCCACCCAGAGAAATCATCTCTGAGAAGCAATGGTAAGAGAAATTGTAATTACTCTAGGCTTTTCACTGAAGCTGATTCATTTTGTGTTGATAACATCTTACATTTCCTTTAACCTGACTTAAAGAATTACCTCTAAAAACCTTTCAAAGCTGGGGAAAATATCACAAGAGTCAAAAAGAAGAGTAAAGACAACTGAGGTTCAAGGGGATACTTATACAGCTTCCAAATAGCTTCGGGATATGCAGATCAACAATCAAGCCGAACTCACTGCCATGGAGTTGATGCCACCCCAGAGCGACCCTATAGGACAGGGCAGAGCTGCCCCTAAGGGTTTCTGACACTGTAACTCTTTATGGGAGGAGAAAGGTTCAGCTAGTCTAAATCCCCCAGTCTTTTTTCTGGAAAGCTTAGTACAGCACAACCCCCTCTGAGCCAAAAATAGGACAGTTCTTTAGAAGTTACCATCTCTAAGGACTACTAGTCTCTCTCCCCTCACTAAAGGTCATTTTTTTTTGGTCTCCATGTTTCCCTGTCCTTGCCGTCCCTTTATCATTGGCCCTTTTCCACCTCTTTGCCCTCTCATTTCAAGCTCATCTCACTTCTTTCAGAGCTTTGGACGCAGACAGACCAAAACCGCGCTCTCGCTGCACTGACCCAGGGACTCTGGCTCTCCGAGGGCAGTGGGAGTGAAGCTCATTTCTGAGGCAAGCCAGTAACCTACTTTGCCCTATTCCCTGATGTTTGCTGTATTCTCTCCACACGGACTTTGGGCTCAAAGTCCTAGCCTTGAAATGAAAAAATAGATAATGTGTTCCCTAGTGAAATGGGGCCGATTTTCTTTTTCCCTTTGCAGACTCTGATACCTATTTTAAGGAGCCTGGGTGGCACCGTGGCTGAACACGTGGCTGCCGAAAGGTCAGCCGTGGGAGCCCACCAGCTGCCCCAAAGGAGATAGACGTGGCATTCTCGTCCTGTAAAGGTTACAGCCTTACAAACCCTCTTTCTGCTCTAACACACGAGGGTGCCGTGAGCAGGAGATGCTTTGGCTAATACCAATTTTATGTTGTCAATGGCCTTTCCTAGCTACCTCTCCTCTCGGAAACTGCCCATGACTCAGGGGCCCATCACTCAGAGAATGTTCTCGGCCATTGTGCCATTGTCAGAGTGCCTTGGGGAATACAGATGTCATGGTGCTGGAAACATATGAGAGTCATTACCCCAAGAGGTTGATTACTCTAGATAAGAGATTTAGATATATTATTAGAGGAAAGCCTAGTGACAGGTTATTAAAGAGATATTTTGGATGTGCAAGCACTGTCTGAAGCTATTCTGAGAAATAGAATATGGGAGAGGGTGGACTCTGGGTTCAATCTTCCAAACGTCAGTGGCAAGGAAGCCAGTCATTTATAAAGCTGCGAGAACACAGATCTAAATTTCTAGTCCTGGCGGAATCAATGATGCACTGCCTCTCTTTGAGCAAGCCATTTGCCATCACCGTGCCTCAGTTTGCCTATCTTTAAGAAAGAAGCAGCAGTCCAACATGTATTACAGTAGAGTCACCAGAAAATAGAGGAGAGGAAATGTATCTAATTCCAAAGCAAGTATAGGATGTTATGGGGAAAAAAAACAAAACAAACCTACTCTCAGAATCAACTGGTTACATAGACCCTTCACTTTCGAAATGGAAAGAAACACCCATCTGCCAAGCTGAGCTTCTGGAGACTTGCGTCCCAGTTCTAGATATAGTCTCTGACACACGACCCACCAGATGATACAGGGGTGTGGGGGGCTTCAGGAAGATCATGGAAGAACTTCTTTCCCTTCTTCCGTGAACTTTTTGAAACCCTTTGACGTGAAGCAAATATATAGCATTTGGAGCAGCATTTTCTATGCTTGCACACATGGGGCCACCATGAGTCAGAATGAATTCCACAGCCCTCACCCAAACAAGGCTCCTCTCAACACTGTACGTATATTGAGTCCTTGAACTTTCACGACAGTAGGCAACAGCAACTCAGTGACCGCTAAATAAGTGCCACATGTTTGCACAGCCAAGAAACCCTAGAAGCGGCGTTGGGCTGAAGATTCAGTGCTTTTCACAGCCATGACACCAATGTTGTTTTTTGATCAGTAGGGTTGAATTTCAACCTTCCTCTTCAGGATAAAAAGGGGTGAGAATGGTGAAAGTGTATCATGCCAGTAGACAGGCTGTACAGAGACCACACTTCCATCTTCCTCATTCTTGACCCTCGCCGCTTCCTTTTGTGGAAGGCAGTGATAAAGGACAAGGAATACATGGAAATTCATTAAGCAAAACTGAATTAAGAGAAAATCGTTAGACTTTGTGGACCACCAAAACAACCGTGAGGTGTGAACACCGAGAAGTAGGGCCCTGTGTTGGAACCTTGGGCGCGGCTCGGACGTTAAAGAGCTGCGCTGGTCCACCTGAGGGAAGCCTTCCCTTTCACCGACACTCGAGTTCCCCAGGCAGCCCGCGTAAGTGCCTATCTTGAAAATAGCATCTCATGATGACAACAAAAAAAATCACCATTTTCTCCAGCTCTGATTATTTTCCTTTGGCAAAAGAAACTTCTTTTAGTGGGGATTATGTAAGTAGTTATGAGGACAGTGCTGTTCTTGCAACCAGTGTAGTTCTTGCAACTTGTATGATCAACAATTCCATGTGTTTTGACTTATGTTTCGGTGGATGTGTTAGTCTGGATACTTTGGGGAAACAGATCCACAGAAACTCATGTATAAGAGTTTTAAATATATAG